TGAATCCAATAGAAATCTCAATCCAAGTAAATATATCAGTGTCGGGCTTTTATTGTTATATCTTTTTTATCAGCGAATTCAATATAAGTTAGCGAGAGATTTCCGTGGGTCCTCATATCTCGGTGGATATATTCCACGAGGGCCCTTGGAATTGCAAATGTTTCATAGAAGACGTGAGAGGGTAAGAGAGGCTTCAGAAGAAAAGGTGCGGTCGTCGGCGCCACCCGACCCTTGGCCACTTTTAGCTCCACGATATGGAAATTTCACACCCACCGGCTGCACCATCCCCCAGTAGTTTTACTTTTCCATAGAAAAAAACTGAAAATTTTCCATTTCATCATTGATTTATTCTCCACCGAAAAAAATCATCTGCAAATTAAATTTACCTTCAATTCAAACTAACAATTCCATATACATTCATTATTAGAAAATTTGATATCCAGTGAATCGGGAAAAATTCACTTGCCACTCACAGAAACAATGAAATCTATTTTTTCAATACATTTTCCCCTGCGGAAAATATTCCTTTGATACAATAAAATGATTGATTTGATATGATCAAATTCCAACAAAAAATTTCTATACCATTCAAATTTTTTCCGAGACACGAAAATTTTTTGCATTTCGTGTGTCAGTCGAGTCACGAAATGCAGTGGATCTTTCAAAAAACCTCAAGTCCAATTTCATATAAAGAAAGAGGCTCTGCCTTTCCGCAAACATATTATCTCCTCGCGTATTGACTCGGTGGTAAATATACGGTATCCCAGAGTGGAAAACCCTTTCTCTTACACGAAGGCAACACGTTTCAGCATAAAACGATTTACGAGCACATGCTGCTCCCCTCCTCCCCACCCCCCCTCTTTCCCCCTCTCAACTTTGATTCTTAATCATTTTTGTTTTTTGTTATAAGAAAAAAAAAATGGCCATCGGTGTGAAAGAATAGTTGGGGATATAAAATTGAAGGCATAAAAGACCGGGAAACGAGTTATTTACGCTTTTTTACAATTGAAACCAGAGTAAAAGAGTATTGCGTGGTAAGGGGGGGGGAGAGGGGGAGGGGGTGAAAATTGGCTAGTGATATTGGTAGTGGCAGGGCACGCTATCAAAAAAACTCATACGGCACATGGTGAGGGTTAACGAGTGTTCGTGTGAGAGTTGCAATCATTTCGGTTGATGGAAATTTTACGAATAAAAGAGCGAATGGGATTTTTTTTTTTTTGTCGGTGGGAGGCAATGGCAAGCTCGTGGAATTACACGGGGGATAAGATTTTATGGAGATGAATAGATCGTTTCTACACGGGAATATACAAATTCCACATTTTCTCTGCGTTCTGGTAGAGAAAACAAAAACTGATGACTCTGTTTATTATTCTTCGAACGATTATTTCCGGAGATTTGGAATTTTTAGTTATCTTCTATCTTCTGTAACTCGTGGTATTTATACTTGAGTTACGAGGTATATTGACTTCGGAGAGAAGCTCATTGTATTTTGTTTATCAAAGCGAAATTTTTGGTATAAGTTTCTCATTTTCGGTGATTCGGTATTGTGACAATGGTGTACATTCTCAAAGAAGTTCTTGCTCCTGTCGGATCTTCTCTGGTAGTGGTTCTTACAGAAGATTTCAAACAGTTCAAAGGGTTTTGTAACTCGAGTTGCTCCAGTGATTAGTCGCGACTAATTACGGTTCAATTACTCCCTCACTCAAATTACTGAGAGACGACAGCCAGTGAATCGCAATGTGAATTCCTTCGAAACTCTCCAACAGATCCACCTCACAATTTCATCAATTTCGCGAATTGAGTTTTCCGGTAGAATAGTACGACGGAAATGTAATTCATACGTCAATAAACAAACTCCAAAGGGGTGAATATTTATCGTTGAGAGTGCGGATTGAGGAGAAATGGAGGAAAAAGGATAAATTCTCAGGAAAGGTAAAATAAATTTGTCCCAATTCGAAGTCAGACTTATTCACATTCTCTGAAGAATCAATGAAATACCCGGATGCTCGTAAATTTAATCCCAGTTCACGGTAGAAATAACGAACCGAGTCAGGTGGCCAAAGCCGGAAGTGGATACCTCGTTGAATTTCCCCGAGGTTTGTGAGAATGGCAATGGGGGGAGGTTATCCTAAACCTAAAATGTTGCACACCCACTGCCATAGATACCTTTCTGGTAAAGCGGTAAAGAGGGAACACCCGGGGATGGGGTTTCGGGGATTTTACAACGTACTGCAACCGCGAACGCATTTCGTTTTACATTTCCGCTCGCTTAATTCCGTAGGAATTGCAACGAGTACGTGTCACCACACCGACGGCAAAGTTATCATTTACCCTCTTGTCTTGTTCCTGGCCTCCACATGTTTCTCTTCGAGTGTTCCGTTGAGGTTTATTACCCGATTTTCTCTCCCCAAAAGAAAACGCCCTTTTCGAGGCCAATATCTCGGAATCGATGGAACGTAGCGAATTTTTTGTGAGAACATTTTTTATAGAAAACGTTGAGAGCTAGAAAAAAGGTTTTCATGAAAATATCACTTTCTTCCCTCAATTCCGAGATATTGCCTGAAAACTGGATTAAAAAAAGTGCACATATTATAGTTCACCTCACGTTTAATAATTCAGAGTGTAAAATTAGAAAAAATCTCAATTAATATAATTTCTTTTCAATGATTGTGGAGGTGTTCAACTTCAACCGATAAATAACAGACAAACAGAGTAATTGTCATAATTTCCCTGGGCGATGTTCTTCCGCTTATTTTCCAACAGAAAATATGCAATTATCGTGTTGTCCATGATATCTTATCGCACCCCTCATGCACAGCCATATCCAAATACCGGTAAATAGTCCAGTAAATATTCCGACAATTCAGTTTCACTATTGAAACAGTCGATTGCACATCTCTCAAGTCCCCCAGCCGTTAGCAAGTCTCAAGATGATGATTATTTGGCTCTTGGCATTCTGCGCCTCCGCTTCAGCAGTAGTAAGTCTTTTCGATAAGATTTTTCCAATTCGTCGTTATCACTGATACGTTATCTATTCAAGACTTTCAGGGCCCAAGTGAGGCTCATGAATCTGCCCGATGATGAGGTCAAGAAGAACGATTACTTTGATTTTAATTTGTTCGATGTAACGATCAGGAAGAGTTTGGAGAAAGATGTTGGAATTACGGTTTGTTCGGATGATGTCAATCTTCGTTAATTGTCTTCATTTAATTAATTTATTTCTGGTGACAGGTTGATTACAAAATTACTGATCGTAGCGGTACAAATTTGGCAACTGCCGATCGTGTTCTGTTGTGCCCTGAATATGATGCCGATGAGCAGGATGTCAAAGCTGTTGAATTATTCAAAGGCACTATCGATATTCTCAATAAAAAATGCCCAATAAGAAAGGTGTGATATAAAGTATCATCGTTATCGCATTATCATTGATTTTACTCGTTTTTAGAGGAGGGTCCGGTTACAACCGACTTTCGACACGGAATTACGAGTTGATAATCTCGCTGAATCACCTTGTAATCAACTCTTAAAGGCTGAAGTCCAAGTGTTTGTCCCCGGGTCCGTCAAAAAAATTGTCAAAATGAAATATGATATCATTCCTAAGTGCTGATAATTAGGACCTAAAGGTGAGGATTGGTTCAGTTGAAATTCCATTGGTGACAAATAAAGTATCGGAATTCATTGCAATTTCTAGTTTTTCTTCAACTTCACATACAACTAGAACCCGTTGTCTAGGGTGTTATTAATTTGGCATCGGCACGCCGCTTAATACTAATTGCTTTGGTGATATTGTTTAGCGTTTTTCTTTTATCGCAGACGATGTTTTTTCCTGTAAACTCGCCAGCGGTTTTACGTATTCCTGAAATAAAAGAAAAATTCTTTTTTTTCCACGTGAAAAAATCTCGGGTGTGTGCCCCATTTAAATAATTTCTTTGAGATCAATAAATCGATTATTCGAATCAAATCTATATCGAGATGATGAGGTAATTTATATTTCTGGAGGGAGGTTAATCAGAACTCGTGTGTCTTTTCGATTTCGATTTTTTAGGATTATGTAGGTCTTGGTGGTAGAGCGAAAAGCTTTTTCTGTCTCCATTTTCCCCAAGTGCTTGAAAACTCGGTTGAAAAACCAAAGACGGTGGTTTTTCTTTTTTTACGGTGCGTCCTTTAAAGACTCGCTAATTTCACAACTCGGAACTTCATATTCCGCTCGAACAGAGGCCCGAGTAGCCGGAAAACTTTTCAGAAATCCATTAACACACCCATACCCACCACTCTCCTACATCCACCCTCGTACTTCCTTCCTCATTCCATTCTTTTTCATCCAGCACACCCTTATCCAGCCTCCTTATCTCACCGTTAATATCAACGGCACTTAAGGTATTATCTAAGCCTCAGCGCGATGTTGCCTTAACAAAGTCCATAAAAATGGATGAAACCCAGTCGACGATGGCCTGTGGTGTTCGATAATATTTCAATTACATTGATGCATTTTCCAATGATGGACGTTCACGGCTAATGATCAATTATAATATTTTATAATTATAATCTATACCTTCGGCTGTGACACAAGTTGTCGAATTGTCCATGACAATAAATTTTTGTTAATTATCCTCATACGACAATTGCACGCTATCCACTATAAAAATATAAAATAAATATAAGATTGTTCCACGTCCATTCTTTACGGCGGTATTTATTATTTTTTTTTTCAATGGGTTTGAGCGTTTATTTTTATCGATGTTCAATAACTTTCAGTGGGTTTCATCACTTTTCATGCGCCACCCAATCTGTCGTACATTTATCATTAATTATATTCACTCTATTAAACACGATGAATTTTTCATGAAATTCTAGAATAGGGATGAAGTAAAAATCTTTCAGATGAATTGAAATAAGTAATAGGTCAGGCATTGAGCTCGCGGCTTTGATAATACTTTAACCAAAATATCTTTTCTTCTGTAAATGCGGGAATGCCGGTGTACAGACGGCATTCGACACATCTAAACGTCGGTTAGGGGTTGGGGGATTGGGGGTTGAGGCTCTTGATGTGTTTTCACTCGATCGCTCCAGGGGTAACCATTTTCTACCGGGACTATTACCACTGCCAGGCCTCACTACTATCTATACCACTTGAGTTGAAACTATTCCCTTTCCTTCCCTCCGAGGCAATAACCTCGTCAGATGAAATTAACTCTCCAACGCTTTGCTATAGTTGTCGGTTTGTCGTTATTGACGGCACAAGGGGACTTCATGCTTTTATCAAATATTGCTGATGACGAGGGGTGGGTCTTCCTGTTGAGAATATTCCGGGGGAATTGTGAGAGCTTCATTATAACATCCGTATCAATGATCTATTCAGTGAATTTATGAAAAGACACCAGTTGTTATAAGAGCTATTCTCATCCCCTTTGAAAATTACTCTTCAATTTTATTCAACGACATTATCAATTCAGTAATTTCTTATTTCAAATGCCCACACATATCCGTATAATTTCCAACGTAAATAAAAATACATAATTTTTATTAAATTGTACTAAAAAAAAATCATAATTTATCCAATTATTTTTTAAAAAATGTCACACGGTAGAGAAAAATTTCACAAACTATTCAGAAATTTGAGTGCTCCCCCTTTATCATCCCCTAATGTTTCCTTCGTTGAGCATTACCGTCTCATTTTTATGCCCCCCACGATTGTGATCTCGATCAACTACATGACTCCCCCGCAAATTCGATTGTCACGCGTTAAAGGGGGTGTGAGGGGGAGGGGGTGGGGGGGTGTCGTGCCAAGATTAGAAATGCCGTCATACCGACGGTCAAATGCTACTGCAGAAAAGAGAGGATAGATTGAATGGTAGAGGAAAAGTGGTGGATTTTTGTAGGGTGGCACTAGTATTGGCACACTCTGGAGTTCCGTGGGTCGTGGTGGGAGGGGTGAGAGGGTGGATATTTGGGGGGGGGGTAGGTTCGGTGGCCGTTACGAAGGCTTTCCAAGAGAGCGGATTGCATATTTCATGGAACGGCGTAACGTAACGTACACACCGCATGGGAAATCCCAACATGGCCATCCCTGCAACTTCCGGGGAAAACCCAATTCCCCATGTCACATTCATCCCCCCCCCCCCCCCCCCCCTCCCTTCGTGTACAGTCCTTTGAATTTGTGTCACTGGGGGAAAATAATTTGCCACCCAACAACATTTTAATCTCGACTATCAGCAAACATTTATTTAACGCACGGTTAGCTCAAGATATTCTGGTGACGGATTATCGATATTTCATCGTGGAGGGGGCGTAGAGAGGGGGGGGGGGCGAAATATGAACTCTTGTAGATTCATTTAGGTCTGTCCAATTATTTATTATATTATTACTATACATTAACGTACTGTTTAGATAAACTGATTAATTGGTGTTAGATAATTTTTATTGCGAGATAAAGTGAAAATTGGAGAGTGAAAAAAATGATGGCTGTCTAGTAAATCACACCACAATAAATGTTCATCAAAGGGGGGAAAATTTTCAAGCTGAAAGCGTCGGAATGGCTGCACCACGTCTGAACAAAGAGCGCTAGAGGCGTTTACCCGTTGATACCCCAACGCAATGTGGAGAAGCAAAAGGGGGAATTGAGTGGTTTTGAAAAGGGGTGGAAGAGACTGAGTTGTGTTATCTCGAAACAGTTGGTAAATGATGAGACAGGAGGGGGGTGTTGGAAAGCTCAGGGGATGCAGTCTAAGATCTAAGGTGCATACATGAGGTGGTAAAATCCAATGCCACGTAGCCAAAACCAACTGGCACCAGTGCCACCAACTGCTACCCTGCGGGCCATCTACGGAGCTGTCGTGAAATGGGTGTCTATAAATTAATTAGCCTAAGTCCTCGAGACTTAAAAGGTGGGCACGCCGCTGAGCCTCGAGCTATCTAAATCTGCATTAAGCCACTGTTGTACCTTAGTACTTGAAATTTAAGGGTGCCAAGGAGCAAAACACCCGGAACAAGAAGAAACTCGAGAGATACCCGCCGGTTATTCCACTGGGTGAGATTTAACCGACAATCGTCTTTCCAACACTTCATTTTATTCTTCAAGGCTTCCTTGTTAGCTTTTACTGTTTCAACGGGCTCGTAAGGCTTAGGTTAATCATCGAAATGAAAACTTTTTCATAAAATGCAACAATGAATAGTCATTTTACTCACATAGGGGCAGTTTATTTAAACAGTACGGTATACATTATTTTTTTCAATTCATGGGAATTTTTTTTTCCTACTATTCTAAGAGGAATTATTCGTTTGAATTGAATTTGGATTGAAGGAGAAAAATTTCGGTTGAAACATCTTCGAAAAAAACATCTTTTTTCGATGAATATCTCTGGATCCAATAGAGACAGTGAAATTTTTGTTAAGACCTTTTTTGTAGCTCTCATTTTTCTCTACAGAAAAGGTTCTGACAATAATTTCATCATATCTCTCCAAAGCGAGTTATCTAATTAACAAAACGCTCCATCTAATTAAACCCATTCATTTTTCGTAATGCAATTATCGAAAGTAACGAAATCATCAATTTTTTCACGAAACCATCTCCTCGGGTTATCGAGTTGGACTTTACATCCGATTACCCCGTAATTGAATTTTATTTTTCTCAGCTAATTATCACCCCGGGGTTATCCGGTTCCGGTATTGCGGGATATATTTTCCAAATAATTAATGACGGCATAACTCCGAGAGTGAATGGAAAGTTTTTTAATGTCTGAGGGGATGTGATGTTTAATGGCTCTAATGTCTTGACGGAAGTAAGAAGTAATCCACTAATTTCAAGAGTAATCAATGCCAGATGCTCAATAGATTCTGATTCTCCTAATGTTTACGAGTGATTTGTCAGGGTAACGATCACGATGATTAAATCTCAAACTCTTATATCGTTTTCCCGATATAAAATCACCATTTCCAAGTTCAGCCCTCGTATTTTACGACCCACGTCGTTAACATGATACGAGAGTTACGCTCGGGTACTTGGATACATATCGGTGTACGTTTACGCAGTCATTTTGAATTGATACTTTCGCCTCGTATAAATTTTTATACAGCACAAGAGGAACTGGGAAATGATTGGAGACGCTCGACTTATTTGATAACCCCGTTCATATTTATTTTTACTCGGCGTACCCTCAACATTCTTATCACTATTTTCTTTTGGAAATGTATGAATCGATATATGAATGAGGGAGGGAGGGGGGGAGGGAAATAGAGAAGTGGTATGTCTTTTATATCGGAATTTTTTCTCTTCCCTGGGGATTGGTGAATGAAATCCTTACGCAATATATGACCGGACAATAAAGAGCTTAAGCTCAAAGATATATACCCCCGAGTCTAGATAAAAATTCCAAAGTAAAATGAAGTTGTAGGGGTGTGGGAAGGGTAGAGGGGAAGGGGGTCTGGGGGGTTGAAATGGGGCCGAGAGTTCTTCTTTTTTATTCATCGAAAGGTTAAAGCTCATCCTAGCGTGTATGAGGGCTTTTCCCACTGGTTCCTTTTTTTTTTTTTTTTTTTTTCGTTATAAAAAATGGGGTTGAGGCGCGATTTTTCTTCTTCATTTTTTTATTTACCTTTTTGGGGGAGATACATAAAGTCACGGCAAAATGGGCTGTGGGGGTTTAAAGTTGAAGGAGAACACAGGGACGTGTATAGTATTTTGGCTTTGTCGGTCGTAAATTTGAATATTCTTCCCCCTTTGATATGTTAACGAGACTCGTATTTTTTGGAATTTTCAAAGGATGAAGAGAAATGAAGCGAAAAATGAGGGGAATAGCACCTTCCAACGAAATATTATTTGATAATATTTCTCACGCTTCTGCGGCGCTTATTTTTTTTTTTCCTTTTTTCCACTGACATTATCCTTTATTTATTTTTATATTTTTTTTTTCTACAGTCTTTTACATTTCCTTTTATCTGGTGGATTTTCCAGGGGAAGCACGCAGACTATTTTATTTTTTAATATTACTCGCTTTCCTGTTTTTGCGGAATATAAATTTCAGCGGCGGGTGCCTTGGACGCATCTTGCAGGCCTCATTTTTTTCAACCAAGTGAATCCCCTTCTGTACCAATGGTGGGTCTGACAGTGGCCCGAAGGTGTACATAATATCATACCACCTTGGAAAATTGTATATCTTCATGTAACCGTGTGCATAAGCTCGGAACAACCGACTGAAAGATATTTATGGTTTCGTGTTGCACGGGGGCTTTTTCAGCTTGAGAGGGTAATTCTGACATTAATTCTAGTCATTCTTACCCCTTATGCAGGAAAAACCAACATAAAAATTACGAAACATTTTTTTTATCGTTATTACTTTCGCGTAATTCTACTAGATTTTTATTACAATTGTTAGCGAATAATGGAAAATTACACTTGAAATTTCTTGATTTCGACAATTTTTAATGAATGCACGAATCGTTCCAGCGATTTTTAATATTTTTTAAAGCCATAATAATGTGAAATTGGCTGATATCAATCTTTTAATGTATTTTTTTATGGGGATGTTTTAGAGATTTTCAAACAAGATTAATGTATACATAAAAGATGATGGAACGAATGATACGAGATGATAACAATAGCCATCTAGGACGAAGACAAAATGGAGTGGATTCGTTGGGGATGGGGATTGGGATGGGGATATTCAAATGAAGACATTAGAATGGAGAAAGAGTCTCGGGCCATGAGACTTTCGAGTCAAATGCATTTTACGCTGAGACAGAATGTCCTCAGCTACATTCTCCTACTCTCTAGCCACTGGGGAATCGTGAAATAGGGAAAAATTAATTTCAACTTGTTTTTCCATATTTTTATTCAGAATTTTATTATTCCAACGGTTGAATATTTCATTCCACTCTCGGTGAATTAATCAGCCCTACGTACAACTTGAAGTGCAATCAAATTATCGCTTAATCTTGCTCTATAAAAAATTCAATTAATTTCGTG